GAATTTTTATAAAAATCTCAAAATCAAAGGATGATTTCAGAATAAGAAACAAGAGGGGTTGGTTAAGAGTTACCAGCAAAAGGATGAATCTTTGCGAAGTCTAAGAACTCATGAGCAGAGCAGCCAAACAAAACTTTAGCAGCCCTATCAAAGCATATCACCACCATTACCTTTGTATCGGTTGCTATTGACAGCTGCCACAAGACATCCACAAAAACTAAAAACTTGAAAGGCCAAAAATTCCAGAATCCCATCTGCATTTCTCAGAAATACATACCCAGAAACAAACAGAACCCCCCCACCATCACTAATTTCCCCATTAAAATCCACTTTCCAGATGACCAATTACGACGTATAACAAAGAACTACCAAGGGGCACCATTTTCCCTATTTCCATTTACAAAAAGCAAGAAAATTTTTTCATGGAAAACGCACTAACTCTACCCAAATTAGGGAAAATAAATAGTTTTTACTTACGAGAAGGCGAAATAAGTGTTGGTGGGAGGGGAAAGAGGCGGGGAACTTAGACTTGCAGGCAGTGCAGGATGAATTTGGGGAATGATCGGGGAGAGCCCTTTCGCAAAGCTTGCAGGCTTTGTAACAGAAGTTGGTGGAATCCATGGCTAGGACTGTGCATGTTACTGTTGACTTATCAGCCGCCATGATTTATTCCCCTTCCCTCCCTCTCTCCTTAAAAAAAGCACTTATATTTTGAAATTTTCTAACTTAAAAGACAGACCCAGGTAGGTCGCACCATAGATTTCTCTTCTTTTGGTCTCGCAATAACAAACAACAAAAGAAGATGGATACAACGAATTGAAAGGTGGCAGTGGCACCCTGAAGAAGAAAAGGGAGAATCGTTTCTTCAGTTCAGATGTTAACCCCTCTCTGTCCAACCTTTTTCTCACATATCACGGATCAGCGTTTGTTAACGTCGCAAACTGGGTCGGTTGTCCACACCGACTCTGGCCCAACATAACCAATTAGCTTTGGGCTGAAAGCCGGATGATTCCTAATAAGAGACCGCGACATGATGATCCATCATTTCAATTTACGGTTTCTTCATCCGGGAAGCAATCTCTTATCACTGGAACTGTTGTTGTTCACGGTTGCTCTTCGGATCCGTAGATGTTAGGTTGGATTTAAAATTTTCGTTGTAAGTTTCAAAATCACGATTTCTGACAAATAACAGCGAAATATGATCAAAGTTATCAACTTTACAATATCAGTTACTTCAGCTTTAGCTCAATAAATCTCTCATCACTTGAACTGTTCTGCTAAATTTCTTTCTTCTTTTATTGTTTTTGTTTGATTCTCTACTGGGTAGTTGTTTCTTTTTGGGTTTTAATGTCTCTGTGAAGATAATTTTGTTTTGGGTGTATCTCTAGGGGTAGCATTGATATTGGGTTGAAGAAAAGCATCCATTGTAAATTGCTGCTGATGTTGGATTGTCAGATTGGTTCAAATATTTTGCAACTCCCTAATGCTTGTATGTGCTAATTTTCAAATGATGATAATGGGTAGAACAAAAAGGAAAAAAAA